GGCTTCCCCCACCCCCAGTGCCTTGTGTCCATTAGTTATTCTCATATGCATGCATATAAGTCCTTCAGTTGATCTCCTACCCCCCCAACGCTCCCCAGGGTTCCCACTGTAGTTTGATATTCTGCTCAATGCTGCTCTTCCTCTGTATCCATTTTTGTTCATCAGTCTATAATAGTCCTTATTATCCATAAATGAGTGAGTTCATGTGGTATTTTTCTCAGCTTCTCAGGGGCTGTCTCAGTCTCACAGGGGCTGTTCCAGCCTCACAAGGGCCGTCTCAGCCTCACAGAGGCCGTCTAAGCCTCACAGGGGCCGCCTCAACCTCACAGGGGCCATTTCAACATCACCGGGGCCGTTTCAACCTCACCGGGGCCGTTGAAAGCTCACCGGGGCCGTTGAAAGCTCACCGGGGCTATCTCAACCTCACCGGAGCCGTCTCAACATCACTGGGGCCGGACCAGCCTCAACGGGTACGTCTCAGTCTCACAGGGGCCGTTTCAACCTCACTGGGGCTGTTGAAACCCCACCAGGGCCGTTACGACCTCACCAGGGCCGTCTCAACCTCACTGGGGCTGTCTCGACCTCACCAGTGCCATCTCAACCTCACCGGGGCCGATTCAACCTCACCGGGGCTGTCTCAACCTCACAGGGGCCGTCCCAGCCTCACCGGGGCTGTCCTAACCCCACCGGGGCCGTCCAAGCCTCACAGGGGCCATCTCAACCTCACATGGGCCGTCTCAACCTCACGTGGGCCGTTTCAACCTCATCGGGGCTGTTACAACCTCACCGGGACCGTTTCAGCCTCACTGGGGCTGATTCAACCTCACCGGGGCCGTCTCAACCTCACTGGGGCCATTTCTACCTCACCGGTGCGTCTCAACCTCAATGGGGCCGTCTCAACCACACCAGTGCCGTCTCGACTTCACTAGGGCCGATTCAACATCACCAGGGTCGTCTCAGCCTCACTGAGGCTGTCCCAGCCCCACCAGGGCCGTCTCAACCCCAAAGGGGCCGTCCCAACCCATCAGAGGCCGTCTCAACCTCACAGGGGCCGTTTCAATCTCACCGGGGCCGTCTCAACCTCACTGGGGCTGTCTCAGCCTCACCAGGGCCGTCTCAGCCTCACCGGGGCCCTTTCAGCCTCACCGGGCCTGTTTCAACCTCACCGGGGCCGTTTGAACCTCACTGAGGCCGTCTCACCCCCACCGGGGCCATCCCAGCCTCACCGGGGCTGCCACAGCCTCACCGGGGCCGCCTCAGCCTCACCGGGGCCGCCTCAACCTCACCAGGGCCGTCTCAGTCTCACAGAGGCCGTCCCAGCCTCTCGGGGGCTGTCCCAGCCCCACCAGGGCCGTCCCAGCCCCACGGGGGCAGCCTCGGTGCTACAGGGTCCACCTCGGCCTCATGGGGGCCATCTTGGCCTCACGGGGGCCATCTCAGCAACACAAAGTTTGGCATCCTGTCCTTTGTTGGGCGGTTTCTTGCTGGACAAAATCTCCAGGCGTTCCTGGTGGCTGAATATCTGGTATGCTTGCTTGGATTTCATTTTCTACCAAGTGCACAGACTGCCTGTCTGCCGTCTCCCAGCGTTCCATGTGAGACTGGATATGGTGGACCTGCCTGTGCGTTTGCTGGTACAGCGGTAACACATTGCCAGCCCAGCCGGGTCTGGCTCTGGCTTCCTCTGAACCTGATTCTGCTTCTTGAGTGTGTCCCTTATGTATTCGAGAAGTTGAAATCTGCATTCTGCTGGGCTGGGCTGCAAAAGCGCCGGTGGTTCTCTTTGTGCCACTGGCACAGCTTCGGTGGGGATGTAAATTGAGTAGGGCGGGATCCCCGGGAATCACCAGGGCAGAGCAAGGGGCAATGGTGTCTCCGCAACTCCTCGCCTCTCTGCGACTCAGCGTCTCGCGTTCCCTAGTGCCGGCGAGCAGCTCCGCGAGACAGCCACTCTCGCTCTCCAGCCTGTTGCAAGGCCGTTCCACCTCTCCCCATAGGGGTCTGGGACCTCAGGATTCTGCCCCAAACAAGCTCAGTGGATTTGAGAGTCTGCATCCCCTTCTGATTGAAAAAAACCCCGCATCCAGTTGCAGCCAGCCTGGCGCGTGACTCTGCACCTCTGTTCTTGGTGAATCACCAGGGCGGGGCCAAGGGCAATGGCATCTCCTTGCCTTCTCACCTCTCCACGACTCAGCATCTCGCGTCCCCGAGTGCTGGCGAGCAGCTCTGTGAGACAGCCACTCTCGCTCTCTGGCCTGTTGCAAGGCCGCCCCGCCTCTCCCCGTAGGGGTCTGAGGCCTCAGAATTCCGCCCCAAACCAGCTCAGTGGACTCGAGAGTCTGCAACCCCTTCTAATTGAAAAAAACTGTGCATCCAGTTGCAGTCTGCCTGGCGCGCGACTCCGTACCTCCATTCTTGGAGCCTCTGCACAACCTACTCAGTCTCAATGCTCTTCTTTCTTTCCTTCCAGTTGTAGAGCTTCCACTGGGCCAGCTTTTCCATGGTTCTGAATGATAACTGTTTGTTTTATTGTTGGTAGTCTCGATGTTGTTGTGGAAGGCAGCACGCACAGGTCTGTACCTTACTCCGCAATCTTGGTTCTCTGATTTTCAGATATTGTACCATCCTTGCATCCCGGAATAAATCCTACTTGGTCATGGTGTATGACCTTTCTGATGTATTGCTGGATCCGATTTGCTAGAATTTTGTTGAGTATTTTGGCATCTATGTTCATGAGGGATATTGGCCTATAATTCTCTTTCATTGTGTTGTCTTTATCTGGTTTTGGTATTAGTGTGATGCTGGCTTCATAGAACGAGCTTGGAAATGTTCCTTCCTCTTGAATTTTTTGGAATAATCTGAGGAGGATAGGTTTTAGTTCTTCCTTGAATGTTTGGTAAAACTCCCCTGTGAAGCCATCTGGTCCCGGGCTTTTGTTTGCTGGAAGCTTTTTGATGACTGCTTCAATTTCTTCCATAGTTATCGGCCTATTGAGACTTTTAGAATCTTTCTGATTGAGTTTTAGAAGGTTGTATATTTCTAGGAATATGTCCATTTCTTCCAGGTTGTCTAGTTTGTTAGAGTAGAGTTGTTCATAGTATTTTTTAACAATTCTTTGAATTTCTGTGGGGTCTGTTGTTATTTAGCCTCTTTCATTTCTGATTTTGTTTATTTGAGTTCTCTCTCTTTGCTTCTTGGTGAGCCTGGCTAGAGGCACATCAATCTTGTTTATTTTTTGAGAACCAGCTCTTGGTTTCATTGATATTTTGTACTGTTTCTTTGGTCTCTATGTCATTTATTTCTGCTCTCATCTTTATTATCGCCTTCCTTCTGCTCACTCTGAGCTTTTCTTGTTGCTCTCTTTCTAATTCTTTGAGTTGTAGAGTT